GTTGTTGGAAAAGTCATGACGTATTTTTTCTGTTTTTTTGTTGCAAAAATGCATCATGACTTTTCTGACAACCCAATAGATGGGAAACAAAGTAAAAAAGGTAAAGTATTGTGGTTGTGTTTGGTTAAGTGCCTCTCTTTTAGAAATACTTAGAAATAATTGATGGAATTTCTTGCATTTGGGAAGTGCTGGTGGGGATATGGATGAAACACAATTGACCATATTGATGATTGTTGAAGATGATGTGTACTATTCTCCCTACTTATAAGTTTGACATTTTCCATAAGAAGATTCCCTAAGTTAAAAACAGAACACATTTGTTGTGTCTGTCTATGTGTCCCTAAGTTACCTCTCTGACCTCCTTATCTACTAACTCTATACCCCTCCCCTCCACCTCTCTCCACCCCATCTTTATTGGATTTACCTTGGGATTGTGACTCACCATCCAAAGGTATACACTGTCCCATTTACTGTATCAACTATTTTATTATGCCCTATTTTTTTTCCATAGCACTCATCTTCTGGTATGAACACTTATATGGCATTTACTACATACCTGGCACTATTCTAAATTTTCTACACACACATACACTCCACGATCCTAACAACCTATGAGGTTGTTAAGAAACTGAGGCACAGCTAGTAAATGGGGCCAGTTTTCACCCAAGCAGTCTTGCTCCCAAGTCTACAGTTTTACCCACAACAACACAGGGGTGAAGGGAAGACCTTTACATCTCACCAATCCAAACAACTCTCCAGAATATCAAAATTCACCAAGCACAGAGTGGCTGCTGTGAATCCAGCAGCCTCAGTGACATTGACGTGCTTATTTCCCGTAGCCCAGATGTCGACACAGACCAAGTCTAAACAAGAGTGAGCAACAACAGACTTTATATAGCTCCTAGGACAGTTTAAATGATTTGACAGTTGAGCCATATTGTTTAAAGTAGCCTTAAAATATGCATATACAAAAGTTTAAGTCTTCTCTCACCTACCAGATTTAGTGGTCATATATGCCAAAAGCTGTCTTCTGAGAGCAATGTCCAAATAAAGAGAGAAAGAGAAGTACTTTACATACATTTTCTGGATTCAGTTATTTTCTGAGCCATTATAGCTTGTTGGAATAAAAGAAGGTAGAAAGAAAAGTGTAGGAAAAAATTTAAACTCTACCTTCCAATTTTCATCACCTGAAATCAACTAGAGAAAAGCACCTGCTGATCGTGGGTGCTTTTCAATGTTACCTATGAATGGGGAGCAGAGTTTGCCACCCAAAAACATGCCTCTAAAAATATGCCTCTTTGGGATATTATTTTAGGCTGGTTAATTTCAAGAAACAACAGACATGGGAGAAGCTCAGAAAACTAAGTAGAAGCTACCCTTTGTAAAGGGACATTTCCCTAAGGACTTCTGTAAAGGAAATCTCCATTTTTAAAGGTGTTTCCCTCACTGCACCAGGAAGCAGCAGATATCTGAATCTCTACAAACTGTTTTCAATGGAGAAAGCACAGACTTAAAACTGCATAATAATCTACTCTTGTTTGCTGCTCTCCTTCTGGTAACCCCCCTTAACTGACTGCTAACTCCCAACATCTTCTTTTGTCTTTAGCTGAAGGTGGTTTTTAAGGTGGTGGTGTCTACCTTTTGGCAAGTTACTCAGTTTTCCTGGGTCTCTCCCATGTACACAGGAGGTAGACATGTTATTAAGCTTTAATTTGTTTTCCTCCTCTTAATCTGTCTCATGTCAATTTGATTAGACCAGCCAGAAGAACCTAGAAGGGTTGAGGAAAATTTTTCCTCCTTGACATCTGCAAAAAACAAAAATAAAAACCACAAACAAAAACAAACAAACAAAAACCTTTGAGGCCTAATTTATATTTATCTCTTCTAATAAATGTAAAGCTAAGAATCCAAGAACAGAACTAAATTTATTTTAGGGAGAAAAAAACCCCATTTTCAAACACAACTCTTGGGCAAATCACATGAAGGGTGTAGTTAATGTCATTCAAATTCTATTCATTTGTTATTTTCCAGCGTAATGTTACAGATGACAAAAACACTTGATCCTAAAACTTCCTTTTACTCCCTAAGAAGTATTTCACTTCCACAGTTCACACTTAATATTCTAGTGAGAAATAAATCATTCATTCAATGTGGGATCATTATCACCATTTTGAGGATGAGAAAACTGAGGGCCAGAAAAATAAAGCAAAGTAAAGACTACACAGCAACCCCATGGCATTCTCAAGGTCCGAACCTTGGAACCTTGTTCCAGAGCTCACTCTCACCCCTTAGGCCACCTCTATGTGGGATAAAACACAGGGCAGAAGTTAAAACAAACAAGAAAAACCGCAAGAGTCCCAATCAAATATAATTTTTATACCAATCTGAGAGAAATTACTTACTAGCTGTGTTACCTTGGGCAAGGCTCTTGGCGCTTCAGTTCCTTTACAGGATTATTGTGAGAACTAAATGAATTGCAACATCCATATCTCAGTTTGACACACAACATTCTATAAAAGTTACCTTTAATTATCGCCATCAGTATGACTATATAAAGACCTACAGTTCAGTTTAAGTCAGCAGTTAAGGAGACCTAGTTTTATTTCCCAACCTCTTAACTGAGTCATCCTTCAACTCCTGTTAATTAAAATGGAAAAACCAATCAGAAGCCTTATTTGGTACCCTGCAAAGATACACTATCACATACAGGCACTAGTGTTGCTCATGTTTATAATCTCTGGCAGCTGGGCGTGCTTATCTACAAAGAACTGCTTAATTTTAACAGTAACACAACCAACCATGTGAATCTCTCCTTTCCATCTAAATTTAGTAACAAGGGAAACTATTCAAATTGTCAATGCTATTATCTGTGTGCCTTCAGATGAGTGGGGGGGAAATGTACTCTTTCTGGAGCTCTTATCTTCCTCAAATGCTTATTCTTGGATGTTTATCCTTGGCTCTGACATAATTTCTGTGTTAGCAATCAAGAGCTCCAACTTCAGAAATCAAGCAAATGTTTTCAGAGTTAAATGGTCTCGTGAAGAACAAATGTGTCTAATCAAATCTAACTCCCCAGAGGCCACAGACTCTCAATTTTCATCAACGTTTATAGCAGCTTCCCCAGTTTGCACAGACTCGAAAGAAGTTGATGCAAAAAGCAAAGTTCCTGTCCCCTGACGTCACGTTGTGATGGGCAGTTTCACGAGGTAGTGCGGTGAAGAGGAGCTGCAACAAGAGATTGAGAAACACACACATCCTGCCACTTTGGACAGGTAATCTGGAAAACTCCAGCATTGCCCTTAAACTGCTGCCTTAACTCTCTGCTCCAACCAAGGTTCTGTTGGAGGGCAGGAGGAAGGCGTGGGTGGCAATGTGGTGGTACCGTAATCTGTAGAGACCACGCTTGATACTTTTCCAAACACTACCCCCACTCCAGTTATCTTCCAAACCACCCAATGAGGTAGGGCAAGTCATCCTCCACTTCTCACACCAGCGACTGAAGTTCAAGAGCAAACTGAACTTCACTGCTACGAGGCCTGAGGAAAGAGTCTAAGAAACCCGTTTCCCAAACCCTCCGTTCTGTGCGCTTTCCCACCACATCTTCAGCTCAAAGACCCTTCCAAATTCCATTGTAATAACACACAGTAAGGGCAGCTCTTTAAAATACCCTTTCCTTTGAGTCTTAATTCCTACTAGGGCTATTTAAATAACCTCTCCTCCGAAGGTTCTGCACGTGCTTTAACCATTAGATTTTTTAGCGGGTAGATAGCAAACTCCACCGCGCAGTCAAGGTCAGGCGGGCAGGGTAAGGATAAAATGCAGCAATTCCGCTTTTTCCGCCGCAATCTCAGCAGGTGGAATTCACAGCGGGCGCTCGGGCCAAACAATACCCTGCACTTTCCTGCTCGGTTAAGTTCGGGAGGGGGTGCTCCGCGGGCGTTCGCAGCCTGTGTGCTTATTTTTGGGGAACCGAGAGAAAAGCCACCGGGTCCGAAACATAGCGCCTGGGGCCACGCAGGGGTCAGGCTTCGTGCTCAATGAGAGCGCTCTGGTCCTGCACAAAAGTGCCTTGGGGTCTCGCTCCCGCCCTGGCGGACCCAAGCCCAGCAGAGTCGCTCTCCCTTGCAAGTCAACTCCATAAAAACCCTCCATCCCTGAGGAAAAGCCCCTTCTTACATTCTCCAAAGGCCCTCGGAACGGCTCTGACCTACCCTGGCTGGGGTTCCCCGCCCCCCAGTCTCCGGCGTCCCTCACATCACCCCACTTCTCCCACCACCTTCCCGGTCTACTCCCTACCTCCGGCTCCTCTCGAGTCCCCAGCTCCGCGCCGCTCACAATCGCAGACCGAGCACACGGCTCCACATTCTTTGAAAAGCGGCGCCAGGTGAGCGCAGCACGTCGGCTCTTCGCTCGCGGGCAGCATTGCCGGGTCACCGCGCACCCCAGAGGCGAAGAGAGGCAGCGCAGAGCGGGAAGCGGCCCCCGGACGCCGTCACGCCCCCGCCCCCCTCCCCGCCGAACCCCGAGCTACCAGGGCAATCCGAGAAGCCCCTCAGGGAAGCCAAGCGCCGCTCCCGGGAGGCTGCTCACGCGGAGACGCCAAGACAGGAGCTGGAAGGAACTTGGGTCCTCGCGCCCCCCGCCCCCGCTCCCCTCTCTGCCGCGTCCTCTGCCTCGTCCCCCTCCCCCCAGGGCCCTGGGCGACGCGGGCTGGAGATGTGGGGACAGCGAGAAGCAGCTGTGTTCCCCTCTTGCTGTCTGTCCTCCTTCCCGAAATCTCGCCCTGCCCTCGCTGGGGGCCCAGACGGTGTCCCGCTTTCAAGGGTAGAAATAAGGAGATAAACGCAGACCTGGCGGACATAAATTCCCAACCCCAAACGCCCCAAGCGGCAGTATTTAGCATTAGGTACAAAATGCCTGAAATGAAGAATGATCTTCGCGAGTAATGTGGTTTAAGGCTGCACAGAAATCAGCGGGCTCAGCGGGGAACTGCAACTTACTCGGCGCTGAACCGCGTCTTTCAGACCTCATCTGGCTGCTCCCCACGCAGCCCCATTCCGAAGACTTCACTGTCAGCAATTGTCCAACCTATTCGTCACCTGATCCTCTGACAGCGAGGGTTTGGAATCCCATCACAGCTGTGCCGCGGAGAGCATCCACATCCGTGATGCTGGGGAGAAATTGCCAAGCAATACAGAAAGTTGCACAAATAGAAACCAAGCCCTATCCTTTAATGAGGCTGAGCGCACGACGTCCCTCGGCCCCTAGGGGGCTTCAGCGCTCTCCAGCAAGGTCCTCGCCTCTCCGAGAAAGAACTGTCGAGTTACCTGCCCGGGTAACATGTTATGCTCGGGTGAGCCGGTCCTGGCTTGCTTAGAAAAGTCCCTTCTGCTTGGTAAAACCAAACCCCATTGCACGCCCTTTGGTTCCTTTTTTCTGTCCTTGGTCACTTTCAGCCTGTGGAACCACGTCACAGGTATTTTGGGCTTAATTTGCCAGGTGTCTCTCTGGAAAACCACCCCACCTCCCAGCATACATAGCCTGGTTTGGAGAGGTTCAAGGACCGTGCCAAGTAGTCGCTGTTGCTTTAGGTGAAGACGGCAGGAACCAATTTCAGAAAGCCAGGTGAATACTAGCTGTCAATCTCCCCGCTTCCGTTGAGGGCCGCCTATTTGGAGTTCAGGCCGGCTTAGATCTAAAGGAACTCGGGACATTTGGGGTTCTGTCTCAGGAATTCAGGTCGGCGGAAGGCAGACTGGGAAGGGCTTACATTAAACTAAATCAGAAAGAAAGGGATGTAAGGCGTGTGCTAGTATTTGTTGAGTATCTGCTATGTGCCAGGTACTTTTCCTAATTATCTTAAGCAATCTTATCAACATCCCTGAGAATAACAAATCATTGATCCCACTTCACAGAGGAGGAATCTGTGGCTTAGGAAGGTTAAATTACTTGCCCAAAGTCACACAATTAGTAACTAGCAGTCAGGCTTTGAAGGCAGATGTATCTAGCACCAAACCCTATCTCCAATGTCCACCACACCACTAGCAAGACAGAAAAATGATGAAATGAAGGCGTCAAGCAAGAGCCTGTTTCAGGAATTTTTAAAAAAGAAGGGGAATCAGGAGGAAGCCAAGAGAAAGAATCTTAAAACAAGAACAAATGTCATGCAAAGTAAATCAGCGAATCTACTAGCCAAATAACAGCAGACTACCTGGTAGCAGACAGGACATAGGCCAAGGGAAAAAAAACAAAACCAAAACATTCTTGTAGGGAGACTATGAGATTTCGGACCAAGACTGTAAGATCTAGTCAATTCCCTTTGAAGCCACTTTGAAATTATCTTGACCAAAAAGTGCAGTAGTCTGGCTTGTGCACTACTGGGTGCAACATTCTATACATTTGAACATACACGTGGAACATCTAGCCACAGATAAAGGAGGCCTACATTCTGGAAAAGTAGTTATACAACTAAGAAAAAAGTTAAAGGACAGATTTTTAAAATTAGGAATCCCTCTGGAAATCTCCATCTTCCCTGGGATCTGGAGATAGAATTTCCCAAGTGCTAAATGCCAAGGGATGAACTTTCCAAGACTGCCTAATTGGCCAATTCTGAGCAAGTCACTGATAATTACCATGCAGGAAAAGCAGGGGCTGCTTTTGTTTTATTTCTCATGAGGAAGGTCATCTTCCAGATCACAGTGCCCTCCAAGACTCAGGGCATGAGGGTGTGAGTATCAGCAACAACTTCAACCAGCCTGGCTCATGCCCAGCACCCGTTGGTCACACACAAAGCTCCACTGTGGCCAGGACAGCCTCTTGAGAGTCTAGCAGCTGCCTGCCCAAACCCAGCCAGGCTTCACAAGAAGCGATTTGTGCCATGAGCGGAGATGCCACCCTGTTTTTGAGCTAAGCTGATGGAGTCAGCAAAGGGGAAATCAGCCCGTACAAAACAGGAACTGAGATGAGATGAACTGAATAATAAGCTACAATATAAGAGGAGCCTGTTGGCATCATTATCACACAGTCATCCAAGGAAGGAGGGATGATCTTGCATGGGAGGGAAGCCAAGACATGCCTCAGGGAGTGAAGGAGCTGAGAGAAGCTGCATTTGTCTTGTCGCAGTTTCTTTTCCTGTCTGTCAGCCTGAAACACCCATTATCCACGAAAGGGCAAATTTGTATGATTCCATTTACACAAGGACCCTAGAATAGGCAAATTCATACAGACAGAAAATAGAATAGTGGTTACCAAGGGCTGGGGGAAGGAAAATGGGAGATATTGTTTACAGGTATAGAGTTTCTGTTAAGATGATGAGAAAGTTCTGGAGATGAATGGTGGTGATGGTTACACATTATTGCGGATGTAGTTAATGCCATTGATTATATACTGAAAAATGGTTAAAATAATATATTTTATGTTATGTACATATTACCGTTAAACACACACACACACACACACACACACACACACACACACATACACCCATATAATCTATTATCATGATATAATACTTCTTTGGAGTAAAAGCCCAAGTGAAAGCAATATGTTAAGGAAGGGCCCCTACCCCTGGAAATTCTTTTCTTGAATTTTAATAAATCTTGCCTATTTTGCTTTCCTTTAGGGGTGTGTGAACCCAGTTTTGGGTTGTTGCACTCTACCATTCAGAAGGAAGAATAGTCCTGTTATTTTACTATTGGCTTCTGCTGATGACAGGTAGTTTGGGGTTTGCGGGGCATATTCAGAGATGTCATCCCCTGAAAGAGGCTTTTTACCTTTAAGAGATAAAGTTAACACAAAAGGTGAAAGATTTATACGATCTGAGGAGAAACCAGAGTATGTACACCTGAAACTAATTTAAATAAATAAATAAATAAATAAATAAATAATATAAAGTTAACACAAAAGGATTGTGTACTCAGGTGAAAATGCTATTGGCTTCCAGTCATCTAGGAATACCAGACATGACAACTCCACAGTTTCAGGCAAACCCTGATCCTGGGGTCAGCCTGTTTCTGTAGAGACGTTAGAATGAGGGGCATGGGCCTTTGGTCTGACAGATGTCAACTTCATCCTTAGCCCTCCTCCTCTCTATCTCATTCCACAGTTCCCGCTTTTTCTCTTTAAAGATGCCTTGAGCCAGACTAGTAGAACCAGAAGCTGCACATGTTCTGTGGTCTATTTTCATGATGAAAAATGTGGTACACATAAAAATTTGGGGTCTTGCATGAGGACAATGGTAAACAGTAATATGATGTTACAACTAAAAATAGTAAGCTGTTTGTATTCTGTCTTGTCTACTAGATTGTGGACCCAGGAGGACCTTAATTATATCTGAATTCCTTCCCACAGCAATCCCCCTCCCCAGGACCTACCCCTGTACTTCTCATGTTTCATGGTTTCATAAATTTTTCAACTGCTCACATGGCTTCTGGGGTGTGATTTGAATGCCATCCTACAAAGAGGAAGACTTTAAGCTAAGATTATCCCATGTTTGGGAACAGTTAATGTGTCCAAAATTATTTCTTAGTCTAGCATTTAAAGAGTTCTTTACTGTGATCTCAACCCAATTTTTAGTCTCTTCTTTCACTCCTGCCTCAATAACCCTAAAATCCACAATGGTCCACTAATTGCTCTTGGGAAATGTTCTTCACATTTTCCTACCTTTATAACTCAAGCCATTGACCACATCTAATATTTTCCACATCTGCTTCCCATAGCTGACCTGATGCTTCAGTGTTTCATGCTTGATGTTTCATTGGTTTTTGCAGTAGCCTTCTGGCCCAGTTTAGACAACTTCCCAAGTCATTTCCACCTGAACTATTTGATAAGGAAAGGCTGAAACACCTAGATATCCTGTGTGGCTGGCATGAATTTTTCTCCATAACTCTGGTACCAAAAAACAAAAAAATTACCTTATTTTTCTAAAATTCTTTCTGAATCAAATTAAGTTGACTTGGTATCCCTACTTGAATAAGTAGCAAGAAAAATCTGTCATGTGTTAGAGCCTTGCCCCCTCCCCAGAGTTTCTGAAGAGCCCAGGTGCTTAGGTAACATCTGAGGAAAGATTTCTGGTCTTTGTTCTATCATGGTCACCGCTGAGATTCTGATTTTTTTTTTTAAGATTTTTATTGGGGAATTGGGGAGATGGGAACAATGCCGGGGAATTGGAGGAAGGGAAACAGACAAGTTGCTGTCGTTTTGTTCTTCAGTCTAGTTGTGGAGGACGTTGCTTCACCGGCCCAAGTTGGCACCATCATTGCGCTCTTCCC